GAAGATGTCTTGAAATCTGAACTACTTGACACAGGACTCATTATACTATCAGACTTTGAAGAGCCACCAACAAAGTATGGTATGATCTCCTCTCAGAGAAAAGAAAACTGTTCAGATCCACAGAGACCCCAAACCAGGATTTTCCACTGTTCCGAATTAGGCTGTAATCAGCAGTTCTCCACTTATCAGCTTCTGCAAGAACATATGGATCTAGATCGACATGTGCAAGAAAAAACCTCAACATTCGATGAAATTCGACATCTTTGGTCAGAAACATGTCATTCAAATTTGTTCAAGTCTAAACAGTTGCATCAAATAGGCGCAGATTACCACTCCTTGGAAGATTCCAATTTATCAGGAAAAAAGCTTCCACAAGGATGGGCACTAAAAAAAGCAAGAAAATTTGCTTGCTTCTTTACCAGAGTAAAAGAATTTCTCCAAAGAGTGTATCATGAAGGTGAAGAATCTGGAAGGAAAGCAATTCCGATTGAAGTAGCTCAGCGTATGAAACCTCTGAGAGATAGCAATGGTGAGAAGTTTTTCAGTTCTGAGGAATGGCTGCAGCCTTCTGAAATTAACTCTTATTTTGGTAGACTTTCTCTGAATGGAAAGGCCAGTGGTTTCAAGGAGGAACCAGAGAATGATGAACACCTGAGAGAATCTTGCAGTCAATAGAAGAGGAAGAAGAAAGAGAAAACATAAGAAATACACTTTTGTTTGAGAATAGCAGCACTGTGTGATGTAAATGATATAACTGCATACAGGTAAAGACGTCTGTATATTGATATTGTTAGCATTTTAGGGAATATATATATTATGTGTCTGTGAGTGTGCATAAAACATTCATAAATTTTATGATGTTTAAACTTTTTGTACCAATAAAATAATTTATTGTTGAAGGTTTTTTTTTTCAAGTTTGTCATGGTAACAATTTGTGATGCTGCACAAGGTAATTCCAAGTTTTTTCTCTGTTTAGCATCCACCCATCTTTCAACCTACCGATTTACAAAAAAATGCACAAGTCTAAAATTAACCACAGATTTTAAAGTTGGAAAAATGATGCATTTAAAGGATATGATATATTATCTATTTTTCTCATAGAGAGAATTATTCTGTAGGAAAATCAATGTATTAAATGATTATTATATACCTAATTTGACAGATTATAGAAAATATATAAAGAAATTGACAGAATTCAAAGGTTTATACCAAAAGAATCAATTTCAGGACTCCTGATTTTTTTTTTTTCTGATCTTGATTTTCGAAACCAAAGCACATGAGGATGCTAAACATATAAAAAAAAACTTTGGATGGCCTAAAACTTTGAAAAACAAATTTTGTAAAGCTTGAATTCAGAAGAAAAAGGCAAATTTTTGTACAAAGTTTGATTTTAGGGAAACATAATTGTTTAAGCATGTAGCTTTGTTTGATTTTAGAAGGGAAAAAAATTATGTCCAAATAAATAAAAGACTCAATGAATTTTTTGTTTTAAAAACAATGTTATAGCATAAATTTTTCAAGTTTATTGCAATGAAAAGATATTAACAACTACTATGATAACAAAAATATTTGTTTAAAAAAGTAGTTCTGGTACAGAAAAAAGATGATGTGTTCTTTTATTTAAAAAAAAAAAAAGATTCGTCAAAAATCATGTTTGTTATATATGGTTATCAAACATTGCTTTATTTAAGAAATAATGTATCATTTTTAAACATCTATCGGGATATAAATACGGGTTGGTCACGAGATCAAATTCCATAAAGCCCGAAGGGCTTTATGGTAAATTTGATCTCGTACCAACCCGTATTTATATCCGATAGATGTTTAAAAATGATACATTATTATTTATATTTACATTTATGACTTATTCATATTTTATATTTTCCTGATTATAATCTTTAACGCGTGAAATGTTTTATTTTTCAAACTCAACGGCACGTATTTGATCCATTGTTTGCGCGTCGACCCTTTATGACGTCACTGAGAAATTACGTCGAACGTTTATGACGCGAGGAACCTGTGTTTATACGGATAGAGATACGCGTTGCTTTCAATAGTGTTATATAAGGGAAAACATTTGCAAGTGTAAATATATATATTTAAAAGTAAATTATAGTCCGTTGTCATGGTAACCAAAGATTGTTTTTGACATATATAATGATTATTTAAGATGTATTTTTAATTATGCTTATTTAAATGTGCTAGGTGACATATACAGCGGTTATTCTTTTTTCTGACATTGTATGGATATATCTTTGTTATTTTCAACAAAAATGCATTTTAGACATATTCCGTTGCCATGGTAGCAAATTATCTGTAAAACTAATTGGTTTAACTTAATTTTGCAATACATAAGATGTGTACTCCCTATTGTATATTCCCAAAATTCTTGCATAAGTGGTATATCTTCTTTAACATACAACAAAAATGAGATGGTTTATGCTTTTTTGTCAAAAAATGAATTTTTCGGGAGATTTTGTTGCCATGGTAACAAAATATATTAAGAAAACCCATGGGTTTTATTTAATTTTTTAATTGTTCATAATGTGCACTTTCTAACATATATAATCAGAATTTCTGAACTTGTGGGATTTTTTCATAATATTCTGTTCAAATGTGCAAGATTTTAAGAAAAAATGTAAAAGGCGAATTTCATGAAACACAGCAAAATGAACTCAAATTTAACACTTTTTAGAAATGATGAACGATTATAACAATATGGTAATAATTGAATATTTTTTATGTTACTTCCTGGGAAAAAAGATTCATTTGTGTTATTTTCATCGAAGAAGCACTGCTCCATCATTAAATTATAGCTAAATTGACCATGCAGTTTTGCTATTTGTTGCTTGCTAGCCTTTTACTATAACATGGCGTCTGGTTTCCATGGCAACAAAGGTTGGCCAATAAAATCATAGCATCCAATGATGTTCCATTGGTCCATAAAGCAACATATCAAAATTTCCAAAAAATCTGAGATGGTCATGAATCACCCCCTGTCTGGTTCTTACAAATAGCTGTACTGAATACAATTTTATCAATAAATTAAAAAAATTCAAATAATAAAAAACAAAAACAAATTCTAATAACAGCGTATTACTTCCCTTGATCGAGTGTGCTAAAGTTTCAAATGTTGATTAGGCCTAGGCCTTAAATAAAAAAAAATTGTTTGTTTGCATTTGCCTAGCGACCCACTTAAAATGCACCCGACCCAACCCCCTTTTTAGCCATTTTTTGATATTTTTTTTTTTTGCGGGGGAGGGTGTAGGTTTTAAGTTTTCAGGATTTTGAAACTGTTTCAGTTTCTATTTCTGTTTTTTTTTTCATCATTTAGTAGCTTAAAATCAATGGAGTTATTTACATTTACATGTAGTAACTCTTTGAAAAAAAAAACAAACTATGATTTGTTGTCCAAAAGAAAAACCTGAAAACTAATATCTTTTTTATTTTAAAAAAAACCCATTCCTACCTACCCACTCTAAAAATTACAACTGCAAACAAAGAATTTTTTATGCTTGGCCTTACCATATTCCTCATTTATTGAATGTTTGATTTCAATGAAATCAATTCATGTACTTCTAGGAAACACATAACCCAGCAATGCCATTGGTATTAGTGTCACCAGTCGTATAGTAGTTTTCCCATGCAGATATTTTTGCTTTTAAACGGGGGATCCTCATAAAGGTTTAGATGTATTACAATGATTTTGATTCCCAATCAGTATGAAATAAAGCTTTTTTTTTCTCTCTCTCTCTCTTTTTTTTTTTTTTAAAAAACTCTTTCACTTGCAAACGCGCGCCTATATATAATTCTTGTTGTAGTGTAGCCTTACTATTTAATTTTTATATATACGAGTAGTATCTCAATTCACAACTGAATTAATATGACAAATGATTGTAGGAAGCTCAGTTTCAGTTTTTTTTTCAGTTTCAGATTGGTCAGTATTATCGTTTCATATGCAAAGTAATATTCATTTCGTGATATGGTAATCAATTTACTAAATTTAATCACTCTCGAATAGTATTAGTGTAGTAGTGGCCTTTAGTGAAGAATAACACCACTTATGGGTTCATCGTTTATTATTAAATACTTCAGTGTTGATATGGATGGACACAATGATAATATAATTGTTGTAGTTATAGTTTTAAGCCCTGTAATAGGAATAAACAATATTGAGCATAAAAAATCAACAATAAACTTGCAAGGGAATATGTATAATACAAGAAGGATAACTCTTGCTATCTTCTTAAAGTTTAAAGTACTTTACAAGTTATTTCCCTTGACTGCATTAAAAATATATAATCTGATAATGAATATTATGCATATACAATATTACTCCACAAATATATACATTTCAATGCAACTATTTCACATTACATTTATCTATGATAAAAGTATTATATTTCATTTGCTTATCAATTAATCACCTGTTTATGGAACAAGGCTTAAACTCAATAAGCTGCCTGAATCAAGTCTCGGGTATACTACATATTAACTGTAAATAATAATTTAACTATATCACTTCAGAATCAATAATCAGATCCCATCAATGAAATTGATAACTGATATTTATAAATTACTAAGGTCGAATGATAAAAGTAAAAGAAATAAACTTGATGATCAAATCAATTGAATTTACTCATGAATGATAGAAAATGCATAAATTAGATAATTTACAGAAATATTAAATCAGATATTAATCAAGATAATAAAATACTTACTATCTGTCAGTACATCTTTCAGGTCAGTCAGGATAATTCAAATATGGCAGATAGAAAGCGAAACTTCGGATGACTTCGAATTCGTATACCCGATCTGCGAACACAGACAACATGTTCCACACGAGTTCTTTACTCTTCAAACAATCGAAAACTTTATTCCATAAATTTTACCTTTGACTCTCAATTGTAATGAACTAGAGTTGAGACAGGGTTACTTGAACACAGATCACCATTTGATTCGAGGTTACCTATACATGTATACCTAAAAAAACACAGGTATACAAGTGGTCAATAGTGTCTAATGTTGATGCTTACATCTGTTGTATGCATGTAGGTATATTCCAAATATAGATTCTGAGAGACGATAGAATGAGTTTGGTGAACTGGATGTCAGTCCTCGTGGTTTCTCAGACAGCTTTCTGTATTGAACAACCATACAGACTTGTTGAGAATACTACATGTTTGGAGATAAATAGTCAAGATCGTTTGTCATGTGGAAACAATGGAGATTATCACTGCCTCCTGGATGAGAATTACTTTAATGAGTATGAGGTGTGCAGGGGATGGAAGTGGATTCCAACAGGTGAGATGCGAGTTTCTGTCATGTAATAATGATACCAGCTACTCAAAAAAAAATCTTAATCGAGTATTCGTATGATTTCTTTTCAAACACTCTCTGTTTTTACCTGAGTGTGTAGCAATACCTGTATGATCAGTGGGTTTTTTTTAGCCCCTGGATCGAAAGATCCCGGGGGTATACTGATTTTGTCCTGTCTGTCTGTTTATCCGTTTGTCTGTTTGTCTGTCTGTCTGTTTTCAACATTAACCTTGCCCATAACTTTTGATTGATTGAAGCTATGGCTTTCATATTCACATGTGTATTCCTTGTGACAAGACCTTTCTTTGGAGACCATCATATTTGTCCTTGACCTTTTGCAAAATTTTATGAGACTTTAACCTTGGCCATAACTTCTGAACAGTTGGTGCTTGAGGTTTCAAACTTCACATGTATATTCTTTGTGACAAGGCCTTCCTTTGGATACCAACAACTTTGACCTTGACCTTGGAGTTTGACATACTTTTGAAAAACTTTAACCTTGGCCATAACTTTTGAATGGTTGGAGGTAGGGTTTTCATACTTCACATATGTAATCCTTGTGACAAGACCTTTCTTTGGATACCAACCACTTTGACCTTTTGACCTTGACCTAGGAGTTTTACCTACTTTTGAAAAACTTTAACCTTGGCCATAACTTTTGATTTGTTGATGCTAGGGTTTTCATACTTCACATATGTAATCCTTGTGACAAGACCTTTCTTTGGAGACCAACCACTTTGACCCTTTAACCTTGACATAGGAGTTTGACCTACTTTTGAAAAACTTTAACCTTGGTCATAACTTTTAAATGGTTGATGCTAGGGCTTTCATACCTCACATATGTAATCCTTGTGACAAGACCTTTCTTTGGAGACCAACCACTTTGACCCTTTAACCTTGACATAGGAGTTTGACCTACTTTTGAAAAACTTTAACCTTGGTCATAACTTTTAAATGGTTGATGCTAGGGCTTTCATACCTCACATATGTAATCCTTGTGACAAGACCTTCCTATGGATACCGAAAACTTTGATCTTGATCTTGATGTTTTACTTACTTTTAAAAAACTTTAACCTTCGCCATAACTTTTGAACAGTTGCAGCTAGGGCTTTCAAATTTCACAGGTATATTCCTTGAGACGAGACCTTTCTTTGGGTACCTTTGGCCTGGATTTTGCATTTGAGAAACTTTAACCTTCGCCATAAGCTGCCATACGGGGGCATCAGTGTTTCACAAACACATCTTGTTTGTCTGTGTTTCTGTATGCATATATTTTTGGCATTGTTAGAATATCACTGTATTTTGTTAAATTGTTATTGTCATAAATGAAATGTGCAGGTCTTAGAGATGTCTATGTTAAGCAATGTAAGTCATGCTTATTTCGGGAAAACATCCAATGCCACATTATTTTCCTTGTCAGTATAAACACATATTTTATGTTCTAGACCAAGGAGGACATTCTGTTTATATTTCTCTTGTTTGTCATTTTAGAAAAATAAAACTTGGCTACTGAAGTGATTGCGTAGAGAATTTACATATTTATTAACTTAACAGTCATGTAGTTCTTCCGTACAAGATCAAGATCATGCAGATGTGTAGTTGTTAAAGTACAAATATAATGTTTTACGATAGAATACTTTATTTTATTTAAGTATATGTATTTTCAATTTGAAAATTTCAGGAAAATGTGCATATTTTAATACTTATGGAAGAGGAAATGTTGACGAAAGAGATTGTGATCCTGTACCAGGGTTGACATGTGCATCAGCTCAGTATAGTTCTACAGATAATACTCAAAGTGGGTTCAGTATATATGATTTAGAAAATATAGTTTTCAGTTCATTTTAGCCAACTCACTTCTGATTGAAAGGCTCTCTTCTCATGTATCTTGTCAAACTGTCCACTTCATCCTTTTCTCCAGAACTTCAGATCAAACTTGTCTCAAAGCATTCTTTCACCGGAAAAGAATCCAGGTTTTTGAAAAGAAGAGACAAAAAGAGTAGTTATGGGAGAAGGGGTTGATAAATTCTAAAAAAAAAAAAACTATCTGTACAGAAAAAAACTTCCGTGTAAGCAGTGTAGATTCTCTACGTACAATAGTTAAGACAAACTGGAATAAATCTGCTTTTCAAAATTATCAGAACAGAATGCATTCCTTTGTAGACAAGTTTAGTTAGAAAATCGTTTCTTCACAACTCTACTAATAATCAGGATGGGGCTACAAAAGAAGAGTAAAATTTTACCAGACACGTAAAAGAAAAAAATGAAAAAATCTCTGTAGAAAACTTTTAAACTACCCGTGGTATAGAGTAAATTTCCCACATACTAGGATTTCCCTGGAAATTCTACTCTAGAGCAGGATTTCCCCCGGGGGACTTTCCAAGGGGGGAGATCCTTCTCTAGTCAATTTCCCCCCTTTATTAGTTACCAGGGTGTTACATGTTGAAATATTGCTTCAAAAAGGTTGAGCTTAATTTATTTCCTTAATATGATGTAAATGGTAATTTAAATATTAATCTTATAGTAAATATCTGATATATATTACGTTATTTCCTTTGTAGTCTGAAATGATTTATACTATGATATGGGGGACATAACTAAATTGGCTCCAAGGGAAAGTTCTACTCTAGAATCCCCCCCCCCCCCCCCTCAGACAGCTAACTCTAGAGTGCGATTTCCATTGGGGAAATTCTACTCTGCTGTCGGTTCAAATCATCCTGCGGGAATCAGTGTGGGGACATGGAATACAGCTTTGTATCGTTTTATATTGAACATTAAATTTACTGTAATTCCAATGATGGTGGAGATAAAGAGACAGACCAGTAGGTTCTGGTGTTGAGCCTGTTTAGGTTTTAGCTCACCTCAACAAAGTTGGGGAGCTTATGTAATACCCTCGGCGTCGGCATCCCAGGTTAAGGTTTTTGGAGCAGTTTTCTTTTCAAGTACTTCTATGGCCTATATTAGTTAGAGATGCATGGAGGATGCTTCTAGTGTGTTTTATTGTACCAGTCAAGGTTTCAGATGCTGCAATTTCAGCTAAAGAATGACCAGGTTAATGTTTTTGGAGCAGGTTAAAGTTTTTGGAGCAGGTTAAAGTTTTTGGAGCAGGTCTCATTTCCAAGTAACTATAAGCCCTATATTGACCAAACTTGCATGGATGATACATCTAAGGATGCACACTACTGGACTTGCTTCGGATGCTGGATCTGACCTACATTTTCCGGATGAGTGACTAGGTTAAAGTTTTTGGAGTAGATCTCATTTCCAAGTAACTATAAGCCCTATATTGACCAAACTTGCATGGATGATACATCTAAGGATGCACACTACTGGACTTACTTCGGATGCTGGATTTGACTTACATTTTCCGGATGAGTGACCAGGTTAAAGTTTTTGGAGCAGATGTCATTTCCAAGTAACTATAAACCCTATATTGACCAAACTTGCATGGATGATACATCTAAGGATTCACACTACTGGACTTGCTTCGGATGCTGGATCTGACCTACATTTTCCGGATGAGTAACCAGGTTAAAGTTTTTGGAGCAGATCTCATTTCCAAGTAACTATAAGGCCTATCTGAACCAAACTTGCATGGATGATGCATCAAGGGACGAACAATCTCAAAACTTGCTTCGGATGCTGGATTCGACTTACATTTTCTGGATGAGTGACTAGTTTTAAGCTTTCAGATAAGTCTATTCCCAAGCCCTATCAGACCAAAATTGCATAAATGTTGCATCTAGGGATGCACACTCCTAGATTATTAGTTTAGTGTGGGACTTTGCCTTACTTAAAGACAACATTCATTGAGATGAGCTCTGTAATCTCTGATTACCTATGTTTAACTCTACTGGTCAGAGACTAGAAGAGCTTATGCGATAGTAAGGTGTCTGTCATATGTCCGTCTGTATGTTTGTCTGTAAATAATTTTTTCAAAATGCTACTCCTCATACAGTTTTGGTCTGATTTCAATGTAACTTGCTACAAAAGTAGAGTACACTAAGATATATTATTCTGAATATCGGTTTTAGATTTTGGTAAACGGTGTTGCCATGGTTACTAAAAATGGAAATTTCTGTGAAATTCTTTCAAAACGCTACTCCTCCTAGGGTTTCTGTCTGATTTCAATATAACTTGGTACCCAGGTAGACTACAGTAAGATACATTATTGTCTTTCATCGGTTTTTGAATTTGATGAACGGTTTTGCCATGTTTTATAAAAATAGAAATTAGATGAAGTTCTTTCAAAACTCCTCCAAGAGATTTTGTCTGATTTCAATATGTCTTGGTATACAAGTAGACTACACTAAGATACATAATTCTGTACATTGTTTACGATGATGGGTGTTTCCATGGTTACTGGAAATAGAAATTTCTGTGAAATTCTTTCAAAACGCTTCTCCTCCTACAGTTTTGGTCAGATTTCGGTATTAAATGGTACGTAAGTAGACCAACCACACTAAGATATACATAATTCTATATATTGGTTTTTAATTTCGGTGAACGGTGTTGCAATGCTTAATAAAAATTTCTGTGAAATTCTTTAAAAATGTTACTCTTCTTACAGTTTCAGTCCGATTTCAATATAACTTGGTTGTAGACTGCACTAAGATACCATGATTCTGTGTATCAGTTTTTGATTTTGTTGAAGTGTTGCCATATTTGCTAAAAATAGAAGCTTTTGTGAAATTCTCTCAAAACCCTACTCCTCATATAGTTTCAGTTTGATTTCAGTATAACTTGGCACACAACTAGACTACACTAAGGTACATAATTCTATATATCGGTTTTTGATTTTCAGTGAACGGTGTTGCCATTATTACTAAAAATAGAATTTTTTGTGAAATACATTCAAAAGTTTAAGTCCGATTTCAGGTAACGTGGTACACAAGTAGACAACACTTAGATAATTCTGTGTATACTATTGGTTTTTGATTTCGGTGAACAGTGTTGCAATGGTTACTAAAAATAGAAATTTCTGTGAAATTCTTTCAAAATTTTACTCCTACTGCAGTTTATGTCCAATTGCAATTAAACTTGACTCAGAAAGAGACTAAACCAATGATCATTATTTTATTTCTTGCTTTTGCAATAGTTTCAAGTCCAAGTGCTAACTTTCTCTACGTTTGTTCAGTAAAATCATTAGAGCCATAGTCTCGTCAGGGACTTCAGCCTGGGGCCCGTTTTACAAAAGAACTTACGACTAAGACCAAAACTTCACTTGTTTGTAAAATTTTGCAAAATTAATGATTCTTTTCACAATTGCTAGCGTAAAAGTATCTTTCTACATACCTTTTAAAAATATTAAAACCATTTTCTATTTAATGTAAATTAGAAAGTTATTAGCAGACTTAAATTTTGGTCTTAGTCGTAAGTTCTTTTGTAAAACGGACCCCTGGTTTTTAATTTTAGATAGTGCTTGTTACGTGAAGAAAGAAATCACAACACAAATAAGTACAAAGTATGCGATTTACTATAATTGAATTACTTTCAATTCTTGTTTTTTAAGGATATCTGCTCCTCAGCCAGTAGCTATAATTCTTAAAATTTTCATTTAATAAAAAAAAAATATCTTAAAATAAATTTTAAATTGAAACCTTTTCTTGAAACTATTTTTTAGAGAAATCAAATTTCCTTTAATCTGGCTTTAAGATACCAATGCTTACTCAGTATTAGCATAATATGAAATTTTAAGTGATCTGTGATGCCTTCCAATGATAGCACAAGCTTTTAAGTTTTTATAGTATGTATGATCATTAATACTAGTATAACAATTGAAGTTTACAGAAGAACTAAGTTACTGTATTAAAGTATGCAATTTTATCCATATGCCAGGAGGCCTATAGTTTTATATCCTAAAACAAATTTTTTGATCAATTTTCAATTAGAAAATGCATAGCGGGTGCTTTATTCACGTTTCCTGAAAAAATATGTGAAAATCGATAATTTATTCTGTATAATATGATTAACTATGACAATGAACTTTGAAGAAATACCATAGGTAAATACACATTACTTTTTGAATTCGGAGATATTTTTGTTAGCATTTTCAATTATTTAACTGCTGATTTTCAGAACCTGAGGGGCAGACTACCTTAATTTATTAACTTACAATTCCAGAATTACTTGTAATGTTTGTGTTTTAATTTATTGATTTACCATAACAAAATTATTTATGTTTGTTTTGATATGCATTGCTTAGTTACTTTAATAGCTGCAGACTGTAGCTCTCCAGAAAATCTGGTTTGTCAAGCTAAAATTTTCTCGAGAGCTACAGTTCTTTAGCTAAGATGTTAAAGCATCGTTTTCACTGACAAGTACTGAAATTGCGTTGGTTCTATCCCTACATGTTAATGTATTTTCCTAGAGTGTTACGAGGAACGCATGTATGTCGCCTGCTTTATAGAATCATTGAAATAAATCTAAGGGTGGTCAGATATTAACTTGCCACTAGCATTATAGCAAAGAAAAAATGCACAGGAGCGTAGCACGCAGAGTGGGGGGGGGGGGCATCTTTTCTGAGAATATTTTTTTTGATGTAGCTTCACTATGTAAATTTTTATTTGGAAGCTGCTTGCCCCCCCCCCCCCCCTCCTGTTGTTGCTGTATGTTCGAACACTGGCAAATTCCAGCAATAAAAATATGGACCGAACAGTTAAAGAAAGGTCCAATCCCCCTCCCCCCTCCCTGCAAGTAGAATGTCCGAGTTTGGGCAGTTTAGGGGGTTATTATTATTTTTTTTTGCTACGGACCTAACTCCACAAATAGTAGCATTTATAAAATCTGACAATCAAATAGAAATATGAATCCCCAACTCTCAAAGCCAAAGAGAATAATGAAAAAGGGTGAAATTATTAAAAATAATTATTTGTCATTTTAAAAACAACTATCCTCCTAAAGAGATTTCAATCTTTTTTTGGCCACATTTGTCAGTCTACAACAATCATTTTGGTACACCAATCCCGACGTAATTTTATAGTATTTAAACTGTACATAAAACGTACGCTCAACTAGGACCTAAGGTCACATACTCATTCACAACTATGTAACCTGTTTACTCCTTTGGTCCGCCTCGTTTAAAGGTCCGGGGGGACCTAATACGATAACATATAAGGTCCGCCTTTTATAAGAAAAGGTCCGCCTAAGTTTAAAGGTTCGGGTGGTGCAACATGTTTTGATCTTGATTTAAACACATAAAATTAAAGAGAGTTTGTTTACATCATATGAAGAAAGATTAAGGATTTACCCTAGCTGTTGTGTTTATATCTTTGTACAATATATCTCTTAGGGCAAGAATTGCTACTCCATGTTTAGTGTGCTTTTAGCAATGCCGTTTAGGGTAATGATTTTTTTAAAAAAATGTCGCATTTATTGGGCTTGTGTTTGTTTTCCCCCAGCATTTGCTTTGTGTAAATTAGGACGATTAAAGGTGTGAAATCTGCCGGTGTGTATAGGCAATAGAACAATGGGGGTGTGAAGTATTCGTATACCTGTAAGGTACCCGCAGGTAGAGCCCGCGGCAGATAGCAATGTCAATGTAATGGTCATGTGTTTGTTTTAAATCAATAGATATGAATTCTCTATTTTAATAAATTATGCTGAAGAACAAATTTTAATACTTTTATGATATTCATGCGTACACATCAAAATTGTGATATAATTATATAATTATATATAGTCTATTTTTATTACAATATTTAAAGAAATTTCTTATTCCAAATGTAGAGTTTAATACTAAGACCGATAAAAAATAAAAGTATGTATATGCTTCCCTTTAGTTTTAACAATTAACTTGTTTTCAGTTTATAATCATATTTTGCCCTTTATTTGTGGATAGGGTAATATATAGCCTAATGTTGTATTCGATCTATATTTACTGCAGAAACAAAATACATGTAATGTTAAAGCTTGAAACAGGTGTCTCAATGTTGAAAACAAATACATCAGATTTAAAGTATAATCATAGTTTGGATTTAATTCTTTCTTATAAAAATATCACTCTTCCTCGTCATAATGAACTACAAAAGAAATAATGTTTCATTTTCGTAATTTTTTTTTTTGCCAAAAGAAAAAGAAAGAAAAAGAAATTACACATTTTACTGTGACTATAATAGACAGACGGGAATAATGTAGCAGGTTGTATAGCATGACCGATTAAAATTTGAAATCATTATTGTAAAATATTTTCTTTTATTACCGACATGAAGCATTTTGGGCAAAGTTGAATGTCCAGTTCTATATACAAGTCATTTATGTATCTCACGTCTGTATGAACGGGGGAAGGGGGAGGGAACATCAGTTGATCCTCTTCCTTTTTTGCGTATCAAGGAATTTCTATTTTCTACATTAATTTGTGCAATAACCACCCCCCTCCCCCAAATGCACCCAGAAATATACTGACTGAATGTTTCTGGGGACGTTGTCAAGCGTGCGTCATATTTCCCATTTCAAGCTACATGATATGTACATTTTCGTGATGTCGACTAGAAGCGTTTCAGTCTAATTTTAAATCAAAAATATATTTCATTTAAATAATGCTGATTATTTATGATTATTTATTTTATTCATTTATGGAAAGAGGCAACTCACGGTTATCCGGAGAAAAAGGTAATTCATGGGGTTTTCCATCATGAGAGTCCAAGCTCCAGACAGCTCAGTATTACGTTACGCTACAACTCCATACCAAGTAGTCCCGGAGAATTGACACTGTATGGAGAATGACTGAGAGTCATACTCCATACTCTCCGGGACTACTTTCCCTACGAATAATGATATGGAATAATAGTGAGCTGTCTGGAGCTTAATTGAGAGTGATCTCCCGTGTAGAATTTTCTACGCGGTGAAAACCAATAAAGTGTATTGTTTAGTACCACTACATCTGCTCAAGAGTTTTTGAAAAATTCTTTACGAAAGCTAGGAACTTTGCCAATGTCCTTAAATTATCCTTTTCGAAGTCCTCAGTCATTCTCCGTTGTAACCATGGAGGAAATAATACAATCGGTCTCATGACAGAATTTTTGAAGTTCGATTTTCATAAATGCTATACATTGCACATATGTTGTTTCGGATATTACCTAACAATTTTGAATAATGATTATACAGTCGCGGATCAAGAATTTTTTTTCCGGGGGGGGGGGGGGGTTCCATCCCAGTCAAAAAATTTCTAAAAAGTTTCTTGACAAGGAAGAAAAAAAACGTAAAATCCATTTCCCAAACGTGAAAAACACCTATTTCGTGGTGGTGATGGTGGGGTCCACGTTTTCTAAGGGGGTCCAAAGTCATTTTTTATTTACTTCAGTATACACTTAACAAAACTTCTAAGTGTTCACTCTAATAAATGTAATTATTTAAAAACTACATGATGGAATGATATGATATTTTCAAATTATTATAACCAATGAGTCTTCTCAACAATTGTCGAAAGAAAATCACTTATCACCGATGAAAACCAATGTCCCGTGACGAAGCTTGAAAACAATAAATCTGTACTTTGCGTTACGTGCTTTGTGTAATCAGCTTCCTTTTGTGATCATTATCAATTTTTAACAACTGGTTTAACTTAAAAACACAAAACATGGGCAAAATGACCATTGAGGAAGGAGGGAGAGCCGTTGGAATGTTGATATCTGGATCATTCTTATGACACGTTTTACTAACTTTTATTTTACTGTTTATTTGTCCTTGATATTACTTTTAAAAATTAACAACCAGTATAAAAATCCATTTAAACACATTTTTCTATAGGTTATGTCTCATTTTTATCGCCAACTTATCCCAATTTGAAAGCTTTGGACAAAATTTAACCAAACCGGAAGTGATCCGGATCTTCGTCTGAGGCCAAGGTTTCGCGTCACAACCAGGTTAAAAGATTGTTACATGGTCCTGAACCACTTTAGAAATATTTAAATCAGCAACTTCAATGGTAAGAAAACGGCAACAAATAGGTGCCCATGGCAGTCTAATATCATCTCAAACAGTCTGAATCATCCTTAAAGAGGTACACCCAAGGAGGGTCTAAGTGTTGACAAAAAGGCATCTGTGTGATGCACTGGCCTGCCAAATCCCCGGATCTGAATCCCATGCATTGAACACATTTGGGACTTTCAAAAGGAATGTCCAACCCCAACCCCCCTCCACACAATTTCAACGGTTTAGAAAGATCCATGCAGTAGGTATGGCAGCAGATAGGTCAACCTCCTATTCAGGGGTACATGGTATCCATGAGAAAAGGATGTCTTGCAATAAATTGAACGAATGGTGGTCTTACTCCATAGAGATTATTTTATGTGAATTTTCTTTTTGAGGGTACATCATGTCCTTGACACTTTGCTTTAAAGTCTGACGAGATACATGAAATTTACGCAATTTCCGGTAATACATTGCATCTCAGGTGAGGAAGAGGGGGAGGGGATGGCAATAACACCTTCTTTATATTTTCATCTGCTCCTTGCGTATCAAGTA